TGAGAGTTTTTTTTATCATGAATGGATGTTGAATTTTGTCAGATACTTTTTCTGCATCTATTGAGATAATCATGTGGTTTTTATCTTTACTTTTGATAGTGTGGTGTATCACATTGATTAACTTGTGCATGTTGAACAATCCTTGTGACCCTGGAATAAATCCAACTTGATCGTGGTGTATGATCCTTTTTACGTATTGTTGGATTTAGTTTGCTAATATTCTGTTGAGGATTTCTGCATCTATATGCATCAAAGATACTGGCTTGTAATTTTCTTTTCTTGGAGTGTCTCTGTCTGGTTTTGGTATTGAGGTAATGGTGAGCTTACAAAATGAATTTGGGAGTGTTCCCTACTCTTTGATTTTCTTGGAATAGTTTGAGAAGGATAGGCATAAGTTCTTCTTTATATGTTTTGTATAATTCTCCAGCGAAGCCATCCAGTCCTCGATTTTTGTTTGCAGGGAGTTTTTAAAATTACAGATTCTGTTTCACTGCTGGTGATCAGTCTGTTCAAATTGTTTGTTTGTTTTTTTTTCTTGACTCAGTCTCGGCAGGCTGTATGTTTCTAGAAATTTGTCCATTTCTTCTAGATTGTCCAGTTTGTTGGCATATGACATTATTTATCATTTTCCCTCATCCTCTTCAACCTATGTTTTGGTTAATTCTGTCCCTTAACTAACCCATATCTCCAACCAGTTAATGTATACAAGGAATGTTGGGACTGAAAGCTTTATTAGATAGTTTACTAGGTATAGGTAAACATTAGCATGGCAGTGTAGTTTGGGAGAATGCAGTATGGTTATAGATTTAAACATTAACAAAATACTAAGAGAGCTAGTCCCTGCTGGGAAAATGAGACAGCACTCCTGCCATGGGCTACCTGCCACACAGAAATGATGGCAGTATTGATGGAGTGTGCACTGTGTGTCAGGTATGGCATTTAAACATCAGAACAACCTTTAAGGTAGACACTGAAATCATCTTAAATTATACAGAGGGCCTGAGGCCCAGAGAGTTTCCGTATATATGTAAGCTCTTAGTGGGAGAACTGAGATTCAAATCCAGACAGTGGGGCTCCAGAGCCGGCACCCCTGACCCCAGCACTGTGAGGGCTGCCATCTAAAGCCTGGGAGCTCCCTGGAGCCACAGTGGGGCAGGTGTCCTGCATTAGCCCCAAAGCAGATAGGAGCTGAGTGTTAGGCACCCATGTAGACTGGCACATTTCTTTCCCCTTCTAGACATCACCAAGTGTCCAGTTACTCTTACCTTAAACCACAGTTTGTCCTCGCATAAGGTAAATTACTCAGTGATTTGAGAACCCACTCCCCCTTTCTCTCACCCCTTTATTCTGTTCCCATCTAGGCACCAGCGTCTCTCCCATCTGCCTGATGGGAAGGTTGGAATTCTTGAGCCAGGTATTTTTAGAGCTTCACTGAAATGGCACAGGGGTGGTTTGGGGCTTCAGGAGCAGCTTTGAGACATTCTTTCACCGACAACAGGATTTCTAACGGAAAAATCACTTTTTACTTCCCTACGGTCCGCTCTGTCACAGCATGCCTTCATCCTCCCAGAATAATGTTAATTTTAGGGTCCAGTCGTTCACACTGAGGATGAGGAAGCTAAGGCCCAGAGAGCTCCCAAAGGTGATTTCTTTCTGTTCCTGCTCTGTCCAATATGGTAGCCACAAGCCGCATATAGCTGTTTAAATTTAAATAAAACAGGAAGTTAATTCCTCAGATGCACTAGCCACATTGTAAGCACTTAATAGTCACCTGTGGTGAACGGCCACCACTGCGGACAGTGCTTCTCTAAAAAGCTGCTGCCTCAGGACACCGAGCAGTGGGTGTGTCTGCTGGCCCCTTCCTGATGCCAGCGGCACTGGTCTTCAGAGTCCCTGCCAACCTCCCGGTTTTCTCTGCAGGCCCGCCAAACCCTCCAGGTCACCTCGGGAGTAAAAGGGTTCTGACACTCAACTCACAAAGCAGCAGGCGTTCAAAGGTGCTGGATTTCTGGGTGCCCAAGTATACCTAGTGATCCTGAATGAAAACACAGCCACACACGTGAGCAGCAGGCACACGAGGTGAGGGTTTGAATGGCCAGGACTGCTTTCAGGCTTGTTCTACTACAACAAAAGCAGGGAGTGGCCTCCCACCTCCTGGGATCAGCAAGGGTCCTGGGTGGACCTGCCCTTGGGCATGCACCAGGTCTGAACCTGAATCCTGGCTTTGTGTCCCTGGTCCTGTAAGGTAAGCTGCATCAGCTCCTGAATTCTCATATTTAAAGTGGGGATAGTGACGTGTCCCACATCGGGTTGTTGAAGGGCAAAACGACAATGTCATCAGCACACAAACACCCAGTGCCAGTGGGTGTGGCTCCCCTTCTCCTGGATTCACTGCTTAACTCAAATTGACTGTGAGGAATACTGTGTGAGCAGTGGCCCCAGCACCTTCAGCTGCCCTCACCCCGGCAGCACTGGAGGAGCTGCAAATCACAGGGAAGTGTTTAGCCAACTGTCTGCTTCATGAGGCCCATGACAGGACTAATAAGCCAGTAAAGCAGCCGTGTTCTTCCATGAATTCCTTAGGCCGTTCCTGGCCTCGCTGGCCTAGCAGCTTTCCCAGCTACTGGAGGTTATAGTCACCTGCTGTTCTATTTATGCCTTTCAGTAATAGTTTAATGGTTAGCAACTAACTTCTTTGGATCCACGTGCGCTTTTTTTCCCCTCTTTTCCTTTTTTTCTTCACTTAGCATAATTCACTTTTTGTACAGTCATGAGGGAAAGAATATGAAACAGGTCATTAAGGCAGCGATTACCAGCCTGGGCCTCGTGACGCCTCCTGGGTATTTCCATGGGATCTCAAGAGCGGTTATAAACTGATCAAATCAAGATTTAATTTGAATTCACGTTAACATTTTTTTAAATGGCACTTTGGGGACAGGAAGAAGTCACAAAGTCCACAAACCCATGAAAGTCTCTGGAAATTTCTGCACTATTGAATCAGCTCTCACAGTAAATGTCTCATAACAAAGGCCTGTAGAATCCAGTCTCATTCATTACAGTGTGAAGGACTTTTATTTGTTTGGTCACATCATTATCATTTAAGAAACATTTAAAAATGGTATTTATTTTTTATTTCAACATGTCAACTGTGCATTTCCAAAACAGCAGGCTTTTTGGAAGAATAAATCAGAACTGTAAACACAAGATACAGTATAAGTTTTTTGACTTCCTACAGTCAGTTTCACAAATCCACATACTGTACATTCATAGGTGAGGTTCGGCCTGTCACCCATTTATTTCTTTCTATAATTACATAAGCATAATAAATACATCTGATCTTTAAAGGTCACTTAAAATGAGTCATGATAATTTACAGTACAGTACATTTCAGTTCAAGTGCAAAAATAACTATTTGCTTACTATTTCTTTCTGTCACTTTATTTTTAAGCTGTGTTTTGTGGTGAAGCTAGATATCCAGTGTAGAGTTTCTTCTCCCAGATGCAGTTGTGGGCAGAAGCATGGTGTCATGGAAAAGCCCTCACTTTACAGCTGGTCCTGCCCAGTCAGTGTCAGAGAGCAAGGTGAGTTGCTCATTTTTAACTCTTGTATTACCTCTCTCCTGTGCTTATCCACCAGCTCATATACACACTACATCATTGACTTTCCTCCAGCTAAACAGTGTTCCCTTTTCCACGGCCCTCCCCCAAGGCTTCCTAGTAACCTCAGCTTTCATCTTTAGCAGCAAGCTTCATGCGTGAGTCTCCCAGCCATTGTTCTGACTGTGGCTGTACTATTTACAACAGTAGCACACCCCTATCTGAACTGTCCAGTGTTTGTCTTCAGGGGAAGAATAGACTGAGATTTATTTCTTTAGTCATTGGAAAGTATACTTACTTATTTCTGTCTTTCCACTCCTGGTTTCCTATTCACCACCTTTTCCCCTCACCAAAAAGGAAACAAAAACTGAACCATTATGTAAGTTAAAATAATTGTATCCCTTCCCCAGGCACTTAAATCTTATACTGTTATTTGCAAGTAGTACTGCTTAATTAAAGAAACCCTTAGGAATTCAGTGATTGTTTGCTTATTTTATTCCATCAGCTAATTAGAGCCTAAATCACTATAAAATTGTAAATAGTGATAGAGGCTGTTTACAGTATCGATATATTTAGTAAACCCATGTCTGTCAAACCACCAGATACTGAGTTGGTTGGCTGATTTGAAATATTTTCTCCTCTGGTCTTAAAGCCCATCTAAAACAAAAGGCATTTTTAAAGCTCAGCTTAGCTTGCAAGTAGTCAGTAACAGCTTTTGCTGCTCAAAGAATTGACGATTTTCATTATATACCATACACATATAAAAATATATTTGCTAGAGATATGCCAAGTTTCTGATGAAACTTTTCCCTTTTTTTAACTGAAAGCATATATACTACTAACTTTTATCTGGTTACTTTTAAAATATGTCTTATAATTTCTTTAATGGTTTTAAGATAAACAAAAGTATAGATGTATTCTGTTGCTTCCCAGTTTGCATTAAGAACCGAATAATTAGAATAAATAATCAGAAGAGGGAAATTATATCAGCATTCACCTTGAAACAGTTTCTTTCCCTCTGCTCATCTAGTGTAACTGCTGGTTTCAACTCTTACTGCCCTGGCAGAGAAGTCCTGTAGTCCTTAGCCTAACCAACCGAAGAACTGGAAGTCCTCACTGAGCTCCACTTTCCTCCTGTGATTCCAGTGGGACTGTAGAAGGTGACCTGTTTCCGCCCATATGTACTGTAGCTCCTATGATGTGTGTTTCCATGGTGATGGGTTCAGGTATTTAGAAGCGTATGTGGTGCTATGCTCCTCAAGGTGAGGTGTATGCGAGGTTCGGGGCACCTCTCCCTCTGTCCTGGCAGAGGACCCCAGTTCCATGCAGGGTGAGATGAGCGGGACCCCTCAGTGTCCCCCAGCAGCAGGCCGAGCCTGCTGGTCCTCACTCTCCTCCACATGCCCGTCCACGTGAGCAGGGCTGCTCTGCGTCTGAGATGCTGCTGCTTGAGGGGATGGCTGGTTTCTAGATGGGTCAGAGTGAGTCTCACGTGGTCCAGGCCGGGCTCTACCAGCTGGAGAATCTTCCCGATTCTCACTGGTCCCCTGGAAGGAAAAAAACAGAAGATGCACCATGGTCAGTGCTAGCAAATAAATCCAACACTTTCCATACGTGTTCAAGTAAGATACAGGAAACAAGGGGAGATCGTCCTGAAGTGACCACTTCAGGAAACAAGTAATAGAGGAAAAAGGATGGAATGTCTTACCTTTCATCTCCTTTCCTATGTGCAACTGCCAAAGCCGCATGAAAAACACAAACACTATAAGCAGACGTATCTTGTGGATAAAGGAACATTACTACCAAATGCCTGTTACTGCTAGGAAAGCAATTTACATCAGCAGATATTTACCAAGCCCCCAACAGCCATCGTGGCAAGTCACTGGGCGAGCAGCACGGAACTGAAACTCAGGCCACTGGCTGAGACCACAGCACTCAAGGCTGGAGGGGACCTTGTCTAACAGGAAGTGAGGAAGGCATTCTCAGCCTGGAGACAGTGCCAGGAAAAGAAGGTCCTGAAATTAAGGTCCTGATGTATACTTGGGATTTTAAAGTACATGCTAAAAGTTAAATGAGACATTGAATATCCATGTAACAACAAAGGGAATGTAAACAAGCATCTACATAACCAACTGTGAGTACATATCACTCCAGCTCATCACCTGCAGCAAGTGTGCAAAATGCCGCATTCCATGCTACCTTCCTGATTTGTAAAAATCAGGAAATACGTTTCTTTTAATAATGGATTTTTCTCTGAATTAGTACCCATCACGTCAAATAGCTGAGCACCAAAAAAGTTTTATTTGTGTAACTGATTCTAAAATGTGAAAAAAATCTTAGTATAATGACTTCATAAGAATAACTGTGACATACCAGCCAGTTTTTATTAATCTTAACATACTAGGCTAAAAAAATGTAATGATACATTAAGCCTAAAAGGCTTCTTGGAAAATGAGGATAAATTCCCCAAATAATGAAAACACTGCCATCCAGGCAGGTCTCATCCTTTCTCCTGCTTCACATCCGTTACATGCTCCTCCCGCCCCAATATTCTCCTTGACTTGTGGGCAGAGGGTTTGTGTGAGCTTATTACCTTGATAAATCAACAGGCTCATACACAGACTGGAATGCATTATGGTTATCAGTAAAGAATCAGATTTCATTTAAATTATAGGAATGTTACACATTAGTGTGTAAAGTCGTGATAAATTTAATGTAGTTCAGATTTTCCAAAGAGGAAATTACTCAAATTACTCTTCAAGTATTTCCTGGTTTTTTTGTTTCCTTCTGTGTCCTCTGAAGCCATTCTAGGTATAGAGCTGACATGATTCATCAAGCGAAAGGGAGCGGGGAACAAAAACACAAGGAAGGAGACTCATTACTTCGGCCAAAGTGTTCACAGAAGTCACACTTGACCATTTTCCAAAAGTAGTATACAGCGTCAGTTACAACTACCAACAGTGTTTTATCCATGTGATATGACTACTCAGGAGAGACCACAACTCCAGGGACAAGAAAAATCACACCTTTTATTTTTCGGGTGAGGCCACTAGCAAAACCACACTTCCACTGAGTCAGGTGTCCTGTGAGATCCAGATAGTGGCTCAGGGTATTAATTCTTTAATTCATCAGATATTTACTGAGATCCTATTATATATAATGTCCCCACTAGAACTGTAGAATTACAGAGATTAATATATATAGTCCCCAAAGGCAACACCATACATCTACACTGCAACTAGTGTCCATCAACACTGACATTTTAAAGAAATACATAAAATCAGAATGGATTTATTTTCTTTCTTTGAAGTACCATCTTCTCTGTGAGGCCTTCCTCAACTCTGTAAGGCAGAGTTTTCCTTCTGTGGGAACTTGTAGATACCTCTGCAACACACTTGTCACCAAGTACTGAAAATATCTGTGTTTCTATTTCCCGCACCAGACCTCCTAGCAATCTTGTTGAATGAGTAACTGAGCCTGCTAAAGGCAGGAGAACAACTTTACCTGTAAAGGCTGTATCTCAGAAGCACGGTTGTCTCTTGTTAACTGCATTATCTCTTTAATTTGGTAGAGTGCGTAGACAAAGGTCACCCAGGGAGAGGAGCTGACCCCCCACGCTGGCCTGTTCACATCCTCCTGTTCTTCCTGGTGCTTGGTTTTCTTGGGTGGAATTCTGGGCTCACTGCGTGGCATAACGTCTTCCGTCTGTTGCTGGACCAAGTCAATGGTTGCTATGGGAACAGGACTAGAGGGAACAGGAATCCTTTCTGCCAACATCGTCTTGTCTGGAGAGAAAATCATGTTTAAGTTATTTTTCAGAGTTTTCTACATGTTTAAACAAATGTAAAAATAAATAAATAAGCAGACAACCCCATTGAGCCCATTCTAGTGTGCCTGGGAAAGTTAGTAAGTTGCTGTGTACCAAGGCTTAGCAAATGAATGTGATGTTCATCTTCCAGAGTCTCCTTATAGGACTTAATAGATATTAACTTAAATTTATTTATGAAATGTATTATTCGGTTAACATATGTAACCTCTGTGGGGCATAGGTTATAGTGAATGTTGCCTCAGTTACAGGACTGAGATTTTTAAAGATAAGCATCAAAACAGGAAAAATCACGTGACAGCTGCTTTTACTGGCTTTTACTGAAGACCAGGACCAAGCAGGGCAAGAGATATGATCCAGGATATGATTTAGGATTATAAAAGAAGACGAGTGAGAAAAATCAGCATTGGTCTTTCTAACTTGCTGGAATTAAAATCTGTTTCTGTAACAAGTTAGTTTTTCTCTTAACAGAAGCACATCAGGTGCTTTTCAAAGGACAGGACACCAAAGAAGATGAGCCCTATTCCAGGATCCAACAGCTGAGAAAGAATGTTTGTTTTACTGGTTGGCTTTCTTCATTAAAAAAAAAAATGTTGAAAACTTGTTCTCAACCACACATTGTATTTGATATAACCTTTCCTCTGAAGAACTATGTTCATGAAGGTCATGCCTAATTAAGGGAAAACTTCAACTTTAAGGTTTAGATTACTATCCTGAATAGTAAAATTCCTGGATAGCCCTACATGTATTTGATTTACATTTTAAATCCCTTTAGAATATCAGAAAAAATTAAACCCAACACCTTCCCCCATACTTTGTACCATAAAATGAAACAAAAGCAAAAAAAAACTTCTAAGCTAATAAAAATGACCAGTATTCTTCTCAACACAGAAAGTGGCTTCTCTCCAGCAACGGTGCACATGAGTTCGTTCACTGATACACCCACTGAAAAAACCTACCCTCGCAGGTCTGTTGTACACAGTTACCACCTCTGGGTTTCTGGGGGGTACGTGTGGAATTTGCCATGGCTTCAACCTTTGGAACCATTAATGACCAATGAACATGTTTACCTTCTTCCTCGCCTGGCACCGCCAGCCACTGGATGAGGGCGAAGAGCAGGAGGATCACCAGGCAGGCCATGCCGATTCCTCGGAAGGTTGCAGCAGCCCCTGTGGAGGGGTAAACAGCACTCTACAGAGCAATTCCAGGAAAGACAGGTAGCCCTCGTCCAAACCAGCCAATGTTCTAAAGTTCACGGCAAAGGCAGCAGAGCTGGGGATGAACCAGAGAGTGGCAAGTGCCCACTCGCTTCCCAGAGTAGGAAAACGCTGGTCTGGCCAGGTGTCAAGAGACCCACGTGTGGATACTAGGTATCTGCCACTGATCTAATTCTAAAATTGCATTTATACAGAACTGCCTCTGAGTGTCTTTCCCCATAAAATTCAGTGGTGTTCTCTTCTTCACACAGACCATGCACCTATTAAACATCCCTATTAATCTGTAATTAGAAGAGCAGAGTTCAAACAGTGCGGAAAGTTCAGACATCTGAGGGCCCGTCTTCCACAGATGACTGAGTAGTCGAGATGCCTGGAGCAGAATAATCCCATCTCCACCTCAGCCCCTGTATTTCCAGTAAGAGAGCTCTGACAGGGCAGCTGTGTCAGCACAGATGCAGCGACATTACCAAAGCCAGCAAAGAGTTAGATTTTTCTGATTCAGAATCTCCTGATGGCGTAACAATGATGAATCTTCCTTCCTCCAGCACTATCGTCAGCAGGTTTAGGATACTTTAAATCTTCAGGCCAAAAGAACATGTGCTTATTCATTTCTTAGGCTCCTTTGAGGGGTCTGTGTAGCATCTCATTAAGCTGGCTGTCAGAGAAGCATGCACGGTTACAGGCTGGCTCTCACCATCTTAATGACTCTAAGCACACTGCTTAACGGTCATGACTACCATGAAAGCTAGAAAAAATATGAACACTTATTTAGCTTCTGGCACTCTTCGGTCATAGTCTGAGTGTTTGATGAGGTGTTACCGAGAAACTGTTAAGTTTTCATCAAAGAAGAAAGGGAAAAAGAGAAAGCCATTCTTACCAAAGTAATTGACTAACACGCCTCCGATCATGGCCCCACAACCTCTCCCCAAGCCCAGATGAAGGCCCTGCAGGATGCCCTGTGCAGACGTCCTCAGCTCGGGCGGGACCGCAGCGCTGAGATAAGAAATGCAGGCTGCCCAGATGGCCGCGTGCGTCACTCCTGGAGAGGAAGAGAAGCGGGCGGGGCGACTTCCTGGGTTACTCTTTTTTGGCATGTGAGTTATTTATTTAACTAGATACATATATACACATAAAAACATACATACATACCTAATAAGGATATATATTTTATTTGTTTGTGGTAAAATATATACAACAGAATTTACCATTTAACCATTTTTAGGTGCATGGTTCAGTGGCTTTCAGTACATTCACAGTGTTGTGCAACCATCACTACCATCTATCTCCAGAACTGTTTTATCATCTCCAAATGAAATTCTGTACCCTTTAAATAATACTCTCCCCAGGCCCTGGGAACCACCATTTACTTTCTGTCTCTATGAATGTGACTACTCTGCGTACCCATTTTGAGTGGAGTCGTACAATATTTGTCCTTTTGTGTCTGGCTTATTTCACTTAGCATGTCTTCTAAGTTCATCCATGTTGTAGAATGAGTCAGAATTTCCTATCTTTTTAACGCTAATGAATATGTAGCCTTGTAACATTTTGTGCTATGAACATTAATGTACAAGTATCTGAGTCCCTGCTGTAAGTTCTTTTGGGTATATAACTCAGACTGGAGTTACTAAGGGATATGGTAATATAGTTAACACTTTGAGGAACTGTTTTCCACAGTAGCTGCACCATTTTACATTCCCAACCAGAACTGCACAGAGTTCCAATTTCTCCACATTCTCATCAGATGTGATTTTCCATGTTTTTCATAACAGCAATCTTAAATGGGTATAAAATGGTATCTCACTGTGGTTCTGACTTGCATTACATAATGGCTAGTCATGTTGAACATCTCTTTACGTGTTTATTGGCCATTTGTAAATCTTCTTCAGAGAAGGTATATTCAAGCCTTTTGCCCCTTCTTGAACTAAGTTGTTTTGGCTTTTTTTTTTTTTTGTCTGTTGAATTTTAGTTCTGTGTATATTTGTGGTATTAACCTCTTACTGAGTATCTATTTTGAGATTAAGAATAGATGAATATAGATCAACAGAACAGAATAGAGAATCAAGAAATAAACCCACTCACCTATGGTCAATTAATGGACAACAGAGGAGGCAAGACTATACAATGGAGAAGAGATAGTCTCTTCAACAAGGTATTGGGAAAGCTGGACAGCCATATGTCAATCAATGAAATTACAACACTCCCAAACACCATATACAAAAGTAAACTCAAAATGATTTGAAGATCTAAATATAAGACATGACACCATAAAATTCCTAGAAGAGAACATGGGCAAAACATTCTCTGACATAAACTGTAGCAATATTTTCTTAGATAAATCTCCCAAGGTTAAAAGAAAAAAAAAGAAAAGAAAAACAAATGGGGCCTAATCAAATTTAAAAGCTTCTGCACAGCAAAGGAAACTATCAACAGAACATAAAGATAACCTATGGAACGGGAAGAAAATATTTGCAAATGATGCAACCAACAAGGAGCTAATAACCAAAATATACAAACAGCTCATATAACTCTATCAAAAAAACAAAACAAAACAAAACAAAAAAAACCAACCCCATCATAAAATGGGCAAAAGACCTAAACAGACATCTTTCCAAAGAAGACATACAGATGGCCAACAGGCACATGTAAAGACAGTCAACATCACTAATTATTAGAGAAATGCAAATCAAAATCACAGTGAGGCATCAACTCACATTGGTCAGAATGGCCATCATCAGAAACTCTATAAATAATAAATGCTGGAGAGGGTATGGAGAAAAGGGAACTCTCCTACCCTATTGGTGGAAATTATTGGTGTAGCTACCATGGGAAACAGTATGGAGGTTCGTTAAAAAACTAAAAATAGAGCTACCATATAATCCAGCAATCCCACTGCTGGGTATGTATCTGGAAAAGATGAAAATTCTTAATTTGAAAAGATACATGCACCCCAATGTTCACAGCAGCACTATTTACAATAGCCAACACATGGACGCAACCTGAACATCCATCAGCAGATAAATGGATAAAGAAGATGTGGTGTATATGTGTGTATACCTATATCTTAAACACATACAAAGTGGAATATTACTCTGGCATAAAAAAGAATGAAATATTACCATTTTCAGCCACATGGCTAGACAGAAAAAGACAAATACTATATATCACTTATATGTGGAATCTAAAAAACAATACAAATCTATATATGAAACATAAACAGATTCACAGACATAGAAAACAAACATGGTTACCAAAGGGGACAAGGAAGGAAGGTGAGAGGGATAAATTAGGAGTATGGGACTAACACGTACAAACTACTATACATAAAATAGATAAGCAACAAGGATTTACTGTATAGCACAGGAAATTGTATTCATTATCTTATAATAACCTATAGTGGAATATAATCTGAAAAAATAACTGAATCACTTTGCTGTACCTGGTAAATCAACTATATTTTAATTTTTGAAAATTGTTCTCAATTTTTTCCATTATAATTAACACTAACATTTTTAGAAATACAGCTTTTCGATTACTTACATTGGCTATATAATTGCACAAGTGGGGTTAATGACTCAAAGGATATAACTTCTATGCCTTTAATATATAGTTTCAACTTGTTTTCCAAGAATATAGAGACCATTTACAATGCCTCAGTACCAGTTTCATTATATCTTCACCATTTGTTGGGAGGGAAGGAGGGGATAAAGATAACAGGTGAAAAAAAATTTGGTCATTATTTTAATGCACAGCAACTGTGCATTGTGAATTTAAATCTTTACTAGAGCACTGCTTTAAATGTGATAGGAAGATATTGTCACAGCAGGTTTTACAGCTAGCTGGAAAGGATTCAGAAATCATCCACTTCTGCCTTGATTAAGTCATGGACTTGCTCCCTGAAAAATAATCCCATTTGGAAATGATATCATCAGAAACTCAACTTATGTTTTGGAAAATTAAACTGAGAGATTAATATCATTTAAGATTTAGTCTGACATTAGTCTGTTCTAGCCAAAATGGAATAAAAGGGACTGGATTTACCATTCTTCCGGAAACAACCAAAAACTGGACAAAATATATGAAACAACAGTTCCCAAGACAGTGGACATAAGGGACAAGGACAGTGATCTCTGAGATGGGAAACAAACAAGGAGCCCCAGTTTACTGCCTGGTTAGAGTCTGAATGCTGCAGGGCACAGACAGGAGTTACTGAGCTGAGACAGAGCTGATGGTCTGGGAAGACGAAGGCAGCTGGGGTTCCGGGTCAGAATACCAGAAAGGAGAGAGCATCACTGAGAGAAACTCCAGAGATCTGCAGGTGGTTTCCCTCAAGTACTCCGCAGAGTACTGATTAGCAAGAGCATTACAGAAACTAAAGCCAGGGAAAGAACCACCTAAAAGCATTACAGAAAACATTACTCAGACCCATACAGGGCTGAGAACTGTACCAAATTGGAAAAATTCATGATTCCTGTGATTGGCAGAATACTTAAAACAGTCTT